AGAAATGCTTTGTGTCAGAGGGTGTAGAAATAGGCTTAAAGAATTGCATTTTATTATTTTACATAAGCTGTCTTGGGGCTTCTTTTGTATTGGTTGACATACAGAGCTGCTGCTGAACCATCTGAGTATGAAGTGACATTGTCTTTCCATTTTATTTTTCATTCTCCAAAAGCCCTTCAAATGTCAGAGAACAATAGTGCATAGGAATAACTTTTTGTTCCCATAAAACCTCCACTGCTTCCTGATCAAATTCACGCCACCCAATTTACCAACAGTAGTATCTATTGGAAAAAGCTTAGACTAACACTGCAGTCTGCTTTCACATAGCCTGAAAACACAGCAAGAGAGTATGGTAACAGATGCAGCACAGGAAAGGAATTATTTCCCACTTGCTATAGGTAGCTAGATCACAACATTTCGTAACCCTAAAGCTGTCACAGGTTTTTATAAGCTAGCAGATGCAGAAGTGATTTGGGGCTGAACAGAGTTCTCTGAAGTATCCAAAGCCCCTTTACAGAGTACAAAAGAAATCACTTACACTTGTAGAAACAACTTAAAAGGAGATTAGAAATCTTTACATTAACTATATCTTTTGACTAGGCACAATTTAAATCTTATGTTTGTTATTTTTTATTATTATAAATCAGTGCTTTTTTTAAAGTACTACACTTGGTCTCACCCCTTCTGTTTTTCCAGTTTAATCATCAAAATCTAAAACACTGCATTTTCTATATCACAATTTCCATAGCAACAGAACATTACATCATAAACACAGAACTCTGACCTCACCGCAGGATCTGGCAAGATGGAGCCTGCGTAACAGCAGAAAAAACATTTCTTCTCCTCATAAAATTATCTAACAGCAACCGTGAAATACAGACTCCTAATTCAGCAATGTACTATGGCAAAACATGTACTTTTAAAAAATAATTTAAGGACTGCAATTTTGAGTACACATTTTCCTGAAAAGTTAAGAATAAACCTTTCCGTTTATTGACAATCAGCAGTGGCTGCTGCTATGAAACCTAAAATGGGCTAGGCATCAATTCCATAGAAATTAATACCCCTCAGACAACTGAGATCATCATAACTGAGATCATAAAACAAATAAACAATCTACTCCTACTCTTACTATGCTATTATTGATGCTTTTTTAGGCCGAATTAAAAAAAACTTACTAAGAAATAGCATTATTGACTTTTAGAAGCCAGATTAAGTCCTACCTGTTCTAGTAGATCATTGGAGATGGTTGATGCTATTACTGCCATTAATGTATTATTAATTTAACATGCTCTTTCCAGTTTCCATTGTTGTGGGTTTGGTCATATATCAGGATATATATAACATGGCCCTAATTTAACACATAGCTATTTAGATCCATTTGTATATCCCACTCAGATTTCTTTTAAAAATGCTTTAGGTGTTTTAGAAATACAGTACATAACTATAGAAAACCTTACATTCCTACACATCCAACAATGAAATAGCTAACATAATTTTGATGTAATTTCTATGTAACAAGTTCTGTGTAGTCATTTAAATTACTTTTAACCTAGTTTTCAGAGCTGCATAATGAGAATCCAATTAATTTCAGAGGGAGCATTAGGCATCTCTTCTGCCCTCTCTAAGTGAATTTAGTGGGATTTAGAATGTTTTAAATGTTGATTGGACCACATCCCCCCCCCCGTAAATTAAACATGTTACAAATTTATTAAATGCAGCCCAAATATATTAAAATCATATTCCTGTTACTACACATTCAAATTAATGGGAATATAGGAGATTATATAAAAAGAATCAAGTCATTCTATGCCATAGTGAAAGCACCTTAAAAACTGAGTCTTGGCAGCTCTCATAATCCTTCTGAAATTATTCATATTAAGATTAAAGACTACTTTGTTCCGCTATTCCCACAACTGGCTGGTATGGTAAAGAGATCAATTCGCTCCTTTTATATGTAACATCTTTAACATTTGCTCTCTTTCTCTGCCTGTGATTAAATGTAACATTTTGAAATCCCAAAGTTCTGAGAAAAGCATAAATCCTTGTCTCACAGCTGCTGTTCAACTCTGGAAACACATGCATTTTCTTTTCAAGCCTCGGTCATCAAGAAATCCCAACAGACTTGAGCTGGAGAACACCTGTATCTCTTCATTTAGTTCCAATAACAGAGTACAAACTTAAAAATTACAAAAATAGATGCTATGTTCAGCTGCAGTTACATTTTGCTCCTAATTCCCGTGAACAAAAATGCTAAGAGCATGAAATCATTCAAGCAAGGTCTGTCATCAGGAGGATAAGAATTTTTTTGCACCAGAAATCCAGTGGGAACATGACAGAAAACTGGCAACAATTACAGATAAAGTACATAGTTAAATCCTCAGGGAAAGAAGAGGAAATGTAACAAGATAGATGGTATAATTTTTATGCTTTTATGCCCAAGCCATAAATGTGAATTCTCTTTAATTGATATAATGTTTGCACCCATCTGCCATATTTTTACACAAGCAGTTTATACTAAATATCTTAATTAAGTGTGTTTGCGTAACATACTAAAATAAAACAGAATACAGAACTAAAATAAGTGTTCATAGTCTATATTCTGTTACTGCTGACGGCATCTTGGACCTAAACTGTGAATGAGAAAAACTGGCAATATCATTTTATCCTTCCTTGAATACTTAAAAAAAATGAGGCAGCAAACCTCGGTTTTATGCCCATCCCTTCCTTTCCAATTAACCCTACTGAACAAAATTAACCTTTACAAAGTATGGAAGTATCAAGTAACATTGTTGTTGCTGTTTTAATTTATGTTTCTGCAGGATTCAGTATGGGGGACTTGTTCCTTATACTTATGAAAAAAAGAAAAGAAATATCAAACACGAAGTACCCTACTATGCCAAAACATTTCTCAAACTGCAGAAGTGATAATATTTTCCAGAAAGAGTTAATAAAAGAAGGAAATGGAGTTATCACTTTGAAAAATATGCTTTGCTGCATTGCAAAACACATCAAATGCATTTAAGACACTTTCCACTGTAATACTTCAACACACAGCTTAGTTTTTAATTGTTATTGTGTTCGAGATCTGAAAACAGAAATAGACTGCAATATTATTAAATCCAGTTGAGTATTACTACTGTTAAATGGTTTGTTATAACACTAGATCACATTTATAACAAGAAACTGGAGCTACTCATTAGATAGGCTCCAGGAATTGGAAACAATGGCTTGCTCATAGAGTTCTTTTTAAGGGCCAAAGGCCATGGTATACATTTTCTAGCATAAAGAAAGAAAAATCATAAGAAACGTGTTAGCATCTCATTGTTTGATTGGGTTTCTTTCACTCTGCAATCCCAACGGACTCATCATTTTCATGTCTTTTTACAAGTGAACATTTTGGGTCTTCATATTTAAATGTTTCATATCCTCCTGGCCACCCCTATGGCTTGAAAATAGTAGGATGGATCAAGCTAATTCAGAAACAGGAAATGTAGCATTACAGCTTGAGTACAGACTACACACCCCTCTCTCAGAACCACTTCAGATGCTCAAACATGCTTCATCTTTGCTTCTTTGTCTTATCTGAAGGGGAGCAGCTCTCAAAGACAATAAATTACAAACAAAATACGCTGAATGTGGGAGTGGAATCAAACACCAAATTGTTCCCAGAAATGTTAGCATTTGTGCTAAGACATTAACATTACCATCACTTCAAAAACTAATTCATTTGTGGAATGTACAGTATACAAATCAGTTTGTTGGGCTGTTACTAATTTGTACTAACATACTAGTTTTAAATTTAAGAAAACAATTAAAATTATTACAAATAGCCAACTCCCCACAACCATGTTTAGAAAGTACAAAAGCAATATGGAATGTTAACTGTACCTCAAATAGTTGGTGCTGTTGTCTAATGATTGAAACAATTATGTTCTAAATTGTGGATTAAAATTTTAAAGGACTGGGGAGTAACAAAATTATTTTTAATGAATTATTTTTATTCTTTGCTTCTTCCAGCCAATTACTGGGTTACCGCCTGCCATCTTTTAGGGTGTCCCAATTCTGCAATCTTCACAACATTTCCCTCTTTAGATACTTCAATAATAGAAAGGGATAAGACATGGCTCTAAATTGTCATGCAGTGCTGAGAGATTTAGCCACACAGTAAGCTAAGGTGTAAATCTAGTATTTTGCTAGTGGGTATCTGCAAGCACTATGTACATTCTGCTTCTAACACCTGAGATTACTTGAAAAATAGCTTTACAGGATTTTTCAACTCTCTGTCAGCTTTCAGCTGATTTTGAATGTATACTGAGAGCTGACAGAATTTATACAGACTAAAGCTATTGTGTCAGTACAATGACACAAATGGATCTAGCCTGAAGTGTCTTCTAGCTGGAGTTCACTAGGTATTTTAAAGTTTTATGTTTTCCCCTTCAAATCAGCCTGATAATCTTGCACTATAGTACCAGCTACCCCATGCACTATGGTCAATAGTTAGGAATTCTGAAAACTCTGTGTGATTATGTGCATGCATGTAGATGAACACACATGCAAGTAACATTTATCAAAAATAAAAATGACAGTGTTGTGACACCTTAATGACCATTAGATTTACCTCAGTGTGAGCCTTCATGTAGTACAATCCATTTCTTCAAAAACATGGAGCATAATGCTCAACGCTAAAATAAACCTGTTAATCTTTAAGGTGCCATAACTCATATGTGTATGCTTGTTATACATACTGAAATAGACTACAGCCACTTCACTGCAGGTGGGGTGGGGGGACAAAGAAATCTTACCTTAAGTAGAATGCACTTAAAGACTTCAGTTCCAACCTTCCAAACAAGATCACAGTGCATCATAATATATTTCTCATGTGAAATCAAATTAAATATATTTACCTTTAGCTACTATAACTCCTTACCAATATTCTGAATATTACCTTAGAATCAGAAAGAGAACTGCATATCCATTTTCAAGAATTATGTACTCACCAGAACTATAGCTGTAATCCTGATGCTGAGGGATCTGAATTGTAAAGGCTAACAAATCTGGAGCAAGGAGAGACTCTGGCTTTCTGCTTTCATTGAGCCATTTGCTGCTGTGTAAGTCTCTGGTATCAGATGGTCCTTGAATTAATGGAACAAGCTTTTCCTTTCCACTATCACCTAAATATATAATAAAAACATTGTGGTCCAATTAACAGTTGTACCAATGGACTTTACACAACACTGATTAAATACATAAACACCATCTCATTTATTCCACTAAACAAATCAGATAATACTGCTATTTCTGTTACCTGAGACATCAAGTAATGCACAGGAGTTATTTTCCAGAAATTACTCAGAATGAGTTGAATAATTTAACATTATAATAAAAATATTTTTAAACTGATAGCAGTTTTTCAACTGCAAATATTTTTAATTAAAATATAGGTACTAATAAATAGACACGTTACTTACCTGTAACCATGGTTCTTCAAGTGGTCATCTGTGAATTCACACAAAAAGGGTTAAATCAGCACCAGCGATGGTCCTCTTGGAATATTCTAGAGCTTAAATAGAAAAGAAACAAAGTTTAAGGTTGCCTGTACTGCGCATGCTCCGCCCGCCCTAGCCTCAGTTCCATTTATCCGCCACATGCATCTGAGTATGAGCTCAACCTGAGCTTTAGTTTAATATAAACAGTGACAGATAGTGGGGAGGCTGGGTGGGATTGTGTGAATTCACAGATGACAACTTGAAGAACCATGGTTACAGGTAAGTAACTTGTCTTTCTTCAGCGTGGTCTCTGTGAATCCACACAAAAAGGGTGACCAGCACGCTAACTCACTGGAAGGAGGGCCGTCACTGAAGGACAGATGTCAACACCGCTCTCCCGAAACTTGTCTCTCTCTTTGCCCTCATGTCCAGTCTGTAGTGAGTGATGAAAGTGGAGGCATTGGACCAAGTAGCTGTCCTGCAGATGTCAGGTACATCAATGCCTCTCAGGAGGGCTGTAGATGAGGCCACGGCTCTGATGAGCCGAGCCCTGAGTCCTTCAGGAGGAACCTTGTGCAGAAGTTCGTAAGCCAATGAGATGGTAGAGACAAGCCATCTGGAGAGTGTTGAAGACGATGCTGGTAAACCCTTTTTCTTTCCAAAATAACAGAGAAAAAGCCTATTAGAAGACCTAAATTCCTTAGCCCTTGAAACATAAAAGGCCAGTGCCCTTCCGATGTCTAAGGTGTGGAGCATGCGCTCAGTGTCTGTGGCAGGATTCGAGAACAATGTAGGTAACAACAGGGGCTGGTTCAAATGAAATTCAGTAACCACTTTTGGGAGAAAAGAAACATCTGTGTGCAAAACCACCTTGTCTTTAAAGAACTGTAGAAAAGGCTGATCTGCTCTAAGGGCAACCAGTTCACCAGCTCTTCGAGCAGAAGTAATGGCCACCAAGAACAGAGATTTGAGAGATAAAAAATTTTAGATCACGTTTGGCCATAGGCTCAAACGGTGGATGCATAAGGGCATGCAACACCAACTGCAGAGAACACTGAGATACTGGTGGCTTAACTGGAGGTCTCAAATTTGTGAGTCCTTTCAAAAAGGCTTTAACAGTAGGGTGAGAAAATAGACGAGAAGCAGCAGAGTCCCGAGGTTGGAAGGAGACAATTGCAGCAATGTAAACTTTCAAAGTGGAAACTGACAAATTGAAGTCGAAGAGGTAATGCAGAAACTTCAACAAGGTAGATAAGGAAACTGGGGATGAAAAAAGATCCCTAGATTTAGTAAATTTCAAAAAAACTTTGCCATTAATAATTGTATAAACGAAAAGTAGAAGATTTCTTCGATTTGTCTAAAACTTCCTTGATCTCGGGGATATCTTCCACGTGGTCAGGTGAAGAGTGTCCAGTTCTGGATGAAATATCTTGCCCTCGTCCTGCGTCAGCAGACCAGGAAAAAGAGGAAGCCTGACAAAGTCTGAGGCCATCTGCATTAACATTGGAAACCATGGCTGACAAGTCCAAAAAGGTGCTATAAGAATGGCCTCTACCAACTCCTGGAGAAGCTTCACCAATGTTCTCTGCACCAGAGGAAATGGGGGAAACAGATACAGCAGGCCTGCATTCCAACGCGTCATGAAAGCATCTCCCAGAGTTCTTGCCTCATCTGGCTCTGGAGGCGTATAGGGAGCACTTCTTGTTGTGTTGTGTGGCAAACACATCCATCACCGAGGTGCCCCACCGATGACAAAGGTCCTTGAATATGCTGTCGTTCAGCTCCCATTCGTGTGTTTGCCTTGTGAGACGACTCAGCTCGTCTGCCAGTTCATTGTCCTCCGTAGCCACATGTACCGCCACCGGAAAGACATGGTGCCGGTAACACCACTCCCATAGAGTTACAATGAGGAGCAGCAGGGACCTTGAACGTGTGCCTCCTTGTTTTAGATAGTACATGGCCGTTGTATTGTCCGTGACTACCTGCACACCACGACCCTGCACCAGAGGAAGAAATGCCTTGAACGCTTTCATGATGGCTAAGATCTCTAAGTGATTGATGTGGAGATCTCTTTCTTGTGTTGACCACAGCGCATGTATGCGGTGATGTCCGCAATGTGCGTCCCAGCTCGTCAGACTGGCATCTGTAGTGACCTGGACAGTTAGATGAAGGGGTCGGAAAGGTCTCCCTATTTGTAGATGAGGGACAAAATTCCACCATTGAAGCTGTTTTGCCAATTCTGGAGTCACTAGAAGTCATTTCTTCTGATGATCCTTCAAAGGATCGAATAGAGATAGGAACCACACTTGAAGGGATCTGAGCTTCAGTCGGGCATAAGCTAAGCTGGGGGCCGTTAAAGCCTTGAGACCTAACAGGTTTTGAGTGTGTTTTGCTGTGACACGTGCCCCTGGACAGAATTTTCTGATGGCTTTTTGTGTTTTCCGTATTCTTTCTTTTGGTAGAAATATGCGCCCATTGGTGTCATCTATCGTGGCACCAATGTAGTCCACAACTTGTGAAGGAACAAGATGAGACTTTTTGTGATTTACCGTGAGACCCAATCTGTGTAGAACATGAAGAATGAACTTTGTGTCTTTCAGAGCCCGGCGTCTGGACCTGGAGACCACCAACCAATCATCTAGATATGGATAGACTTGGATTCCATTGAGCCGCAGATAAGCTGCCACCAGCGCCAAGCATTTCGTAAACGTCCTTGGCGCCGTTGCAAGACCGAAAGGAAGGGCTAGGAATTGGTAAATTCTGTCCTGAAAGACAAACCTGAGGAATTTTCGATGACTGGGGTGAATGGTTATATGAAAGTAAGCGTCTTTTAGGTCTATGACCACAAACCAATTGTTCTTTTTCAGCAGAGGGATTATCGACTCCAACGTCACCATCTGGAACCGACGAGGCCAAAGTAAAGTATTTAGAGTTCTTAAGTCCAGAATGGGCCTTATGCCTCCATCTTTTTTGGGAACAGCGAAGTATCTTGAGTAGAAACCGTTTGCGATGTCTCTTTTGGGGACTTTTTGAATGGCATTCTTCTCTAGCAAGGATAGAACCTCTTCTTCTAGAGCAGGATCGAATGATGTATAATTTACCTGTCCTAGAGGAGGATATTCTATAAACTCCAGAAGATAGCCGAACTGAACGATGCTTAACACCCAGGAGTCTTTTGTAATGCCGGACCAGTTTTGTAGAAAAGGCTGTAGTCTCGTTGTGGGATTTGGTATGTCCAGAATTGTGAAGTCAAAGATATTGTTTGGATTTCTTGGCAGGTGGCTTATAGGATTGACGTCTCTGGGCATGATGAGGACGGTAAGTAGCATTAGAAGAAGCAGCCTGAGAGGACCTAGGTTGAGACTGACTCTTGAATGGTTTGTATTGCTGAGATGATTGGTAATATTGATTGTAAGGCTTTCTCCACTTATATTTGTTGTATTTGGGTTGTGCTTGGATGTAATAAGACTTGGCAGTCTTCTTAGCTTTATGAAGTTCCTCTAGGTGACCATCAGTTTTTTCATTAAAAAGACCAGATGTATTGAATGGCAAATTCTCCACTTTGGTCTTAACATCGTCGAGAATGTTTGCAGCCCTCAACCAAGCATGCCTTCGAAGAGTTACAGCTGACATCAAAACCCTCGAGGCAGCTTCAACTGAATGCCTTGTAGCGATTCTTTGATGTTTGGAAACAGTTTGTGCCTCCTCATACGTGTTGAGGAATCCCTGTCTGACGTCCTCAGGTAACATATTTAGACCAGGAAGGATTTTTAGCCACAGTTGCTTCTGGTAAGCTCCTAAGGCAGTTGAATAATTAGCTACTCTGATCATAAAGGCAATAAGTGAATAGATCTTCCTGCCAAGCATCTCCAACTTCTTTCCTTCCTTATTTGTCGGAGTGATATGAGATCTACCTGTGGGTCTCATGCAGCTAGTCTCGACGATTAAAGAGTTAGGAATGGGATATTTAAGGAGGAATCTAGTATCATTACCGCTGACACGACAGAGATTCTCCGTACGTCTGGACAAACAAGGTGTCGTAGACAGTTGATCCCAGAACTCTCTAATAATATTAACAAGAGCAGGCAAAAAGGAGAGGGTAGGTGGAGGAGACCTCTCACTGTTAATGTCACCAAATATAAGATCCTTCTCAGGTGGGGTCGGTTCATCCACCTGGAGTTTGAGAGTCTGGACAACATCTGCGAGTAAGAGGAAAAATCCTCTGACGGAGAAGAAGCATGAGGGTCGCCTGTGTCAGACCCTACAACTTCACCCTCCAGCAATTCATCCCTAATAGGTTGCTGTGGTAAATCCTCATGGGACGCTGAATCCCTAGATGAAAAAGAGACCTCATCATCCGATGAAGGGGAATGATGTCTTTTACAATGTCGAACCTCAACGTCGAGATTTGTTGCCCTTGGTTGCTGAGGTGGCAACGCAGCTGTCGATGTCGAAACCCCAACCACATGCGCTTCAGCAGGCTTTCCTGTATGTTGACGAGGCTTTGCGGGTTTCTCGACGTCGAGATGTCTTCGACGTGGCTGCTTCCTTTGTGAAGATGAGGTGGAAGAAGAGGAAGCATATTCGACCCTCCGTCGATGCTGATCCGACGATGTCGAAGGAGAGGAGTATCTCCGTCGGTGTCGACGTCGATATTTTTTGTGGTCTGATCCAGATCCATCTGAATCCTCCGAGCGCGACCTATGTCGACGCCGAGAATGTCGATGGAGGAGAACGACTTCTTTCCTCGGCAATCAACGTTGATCTGTTGAAATGTACTTAGTTTTATGAGTTCGCATTCTCGGCGGCAAACTCAGTCTCGAAGTGGCAGATGAGCCAGAGACGCCTGCCCGGTAGACACGGGGCTATGTGGGGCAGAAACCAAGCTTGCAGTGACATTGGCAAGCTGACTCGGGGTCGGGGACAAAACACCCAGACCCTGAATAGGCTCAGACTCAGCGGAGGAAGCGAAGGGTCTACCTCCGACAGCGATTCTCTATCCCTGGAAGAATCTTCCAAAAGCGGAGAAGGAACAGAGGCAGAGACGGGTGGTAAACTCTTATGAGTCTCCTTGTTCTTTACAGAGTCCCTTTCCTTTTGCTTGCTTTCCAGACTTGGAGGTTGCTCCTTTGGAAGAAGATGATTTCTTTGCTGCCGTGGTTTTCTTGGTGGGCTTCTCTTTTCCAGAGGCCATAGCAACAGGTAACTGAGAGGAGCTGCACTCTGCACAAGAGGTAGTAGCAGTAGAAGGGAGCTCCATTGAAGATGGTTTAGAAGAAGACAGGGTAGAGTCCCAAAGATGATACCGCAACCTCTGCTGCCTGGCCCTTAAAGCAGCCTTACAATGCTTGCAGTTCTGAGTCAAATGTGCCTCCCCAAGGTCATGTCCGTCGTGAAAAGGTAATTTTCTGTCACACACGACGCATCGGCTGAAAGGGGACATAAGATGATAAGGAAAATTTCCCAACTATAAGTATAGCCGGTAAAAATGGCGGGAAAGTCCGTAGGCAACCAAAATGAGGGGTAATCCGAGCGAAAGTCCACAATATCCAAACCAAGTCAAGGTAGGAGATGATACGAACAGTCAGGAACCCGCAAAGTGTTGAAAAAACTGTGAAAATCCAGAAAAAAACAAAATATAAGCAGAGCTCAAGCCGAGAGGCTCCAGTTTACATGGCGGATAAATGGAACTGAGGCTAGGGCGGGTGGAGCATGTGCAGTACAGGCAACCTTAAACTTTGTTTCTTTTCTATTTAAGCTCTAGAATATTCCGAGCGGACCATCGCTGGCGCGGATTTAACCCTTTTTGTGTGAATTCACAGATGACCACGCTGAAGAATTCACAGACACCTAAAGCATATTCAGATGGACATTCAAAATCACATTTTCAGCACTAAACAGTGTGATGTGCATGTATTATTGAAACATGCATTACACTTCAAAACATATTTGAAACACAAAAAAGTGTTTCAGAGTATTCATTTCTCAGTTTCATTTTTTATTTATTAACACATTTTAAAACTGTCCTTCATCTTTCTAGATTCCACGGCACCATAATTTTCAGTGAAAACATGAGGCCCAGTCTTACATAGACTTACAGTATTAGGTTTATCCAAAGGTATACTCTCTATTACTGCAATGCTCTCTGATTCCATTGAGACTTCTACTAAAAGAATGGGGAGTGATTTTGATTCATTCTTCTTCCACACTACTAATTTCAAATCTGCTGCAAACCACTGCAAGACTAATGGATCAATCTTCCATCACTAGGAGAGCACAACTAACCATTTACAATAATTTGTTCGGCTCTACCAACCACAATTTGAACAATGAATAAGGTGCCATGGGGATGTTACTAATGACATCTTCACTATGGAGGTCAAATCTGGGAATAAACTCCTATCCAGCCACAATACTATGGTGGGATGGACAATACCTTGGCATGATTGCCAGTGGAAAGTGAAAGGCAGGACATCCGGAAAGACTAACAATTACTAATATGGGATCAATTGGACAGAGCAATTTAGCACAGCTGCTGCAGTCACTTGTCTAAAAGCTACATTAGAGAGCCAGCAGCAGAGCATTTTATTGCCCCAAAAAGCGAAAGAGGTTTTTAAGAGCACTCAGAAGGATCTTAAGAGGACTTGTAAGAGGATAGGTTGTAAAGTGCATTCACTTCTTCATCTGTATTGAAAAACAACAGAAGGCCAATGAGTGAAACCCTGGAACACTTAATGAAAGATGATTAATAAAAACTTCCAACACATTTCAAATTTTTTTCAATTCTCTTTAGAGAAGGCTGTACAACAGAACAAAACATAACATGTTGGTCTCCCTAAGTTCAGCATGGGTAGTCATTTTCAAAATTGAAACTACCTGCTAGTCAGCCAATCAGAAGAAAAGTATACTTAGCAAACATCCTGACCATGGGATGCAATTTATTAGAAGAAAGCAGCTCTTTCCCCCCATTAATGTTATTGTTAAATAGTGTCCAATTTCCCCTTGCTTCACCAAAATGGAAGACGATGGATGAAACAAATACTTCAACCATCTCCTTTTTGTACAATGTCGCTTTGCCATTTTGTTATCTTTGCACTTTGTGGTATGGCTCTCCTCTCCTTCTGGATGCAATTACAGTACAGACTTCATTTATAGACCTTTGGGAGAAATCAGAAGCACTATTCTTTTTATAGTGCAAAAAGGGAACAAACCTGCCTAAGAGGTAACTTGTAACAGGTGGCCATATTATTTCTTCTTCTGATCCAAAACGTTTAAATTGCCAATGTGTCTTTTGTCCACTTTTTATAATATTAGATAATGTGAGTTTCACATACAGATTTATAGATCAAATTAATTTTAGGGTTATAGCAATATTCTGTTAGGGAATTTTAAATCATTTTCTTGTTAAGACTATTGTTCCCAGATACATTCAACAAAAGGCTACATTCCACATCACGGGAGTGGACTTCCCTTGCAGAATATGACTACTTCCTATGCATCAATACCCCTCTCGCGTCTGCTCCAGAGAGTTCTCCAAATGATTCTAATGCAAGCAGATAGCACTCCCAAGGTGAATATACGCTACATGTAATTTGGAAGCTGTGCATCGAAGACAACAGTTGTATTAAATATATTTCTAAACAGATAAAGAATCCAGCATGATTTATGTATCTTTATAACTCAGTGACCCTTTAACTATTTTTAAAATAAAAACAATGTGGGTCTGATGAAATCACTCCAGTATGAACTTGATGTCTCTAAGATATATATCAGGCATACTTCTGAAAATATATTTAGGTTTTGGATGATTCGCGGCAATCATCTCCATCCTGGTGCCCTCCAGACTTTGTAGACTTCAACTCCCAGAAGCATCAGACATCACAGTGAACATTGTGAAATATTGTCTGGAGATGTAGTTGAAATCACCTGGAGGACCATAGGCTGGCAAAGATTAGGGAGAAGCAGTATTCTATATTTACACCTTCTTCCATTGACAAAATCTTGATTTTTGATATTTGTAGATTTTGAATTTTTAAGATCTGTAATGACCAAAATACCATAAGTATGCTGCTTTTTAAAACAACTGCCGATGCAATGCTACGTTATCCTACCCTGTTTCTAAAAACAAAAATAAAAATACCTCTGATTCATAGGAACAATGAATAAATTCTTGTTTCAGTAACTCTCCTTGTAAAAAGCAAGGCCAATTCTCCTACACAGGCCGTAAACTTTTACATGGTCCAGCTGCACATACCTGGGGCTTTGGCACAAATTTTTATTGATCCCATGGTCCCAGAGGCACATTTGACCAATGGTGTGCTGCAGTACTTCAATTCAACATTCTGGATTGAGCCCTCAAGAGTTGGCAGGGGATTCTTAGATTTCACACCTAATAAAAGAAAACTGCAAATGTACTAGCCTGCTGAATTTAAATATTTTTATATTCTTTCACTAAGGCATTTAAATTTAATTACACTTTAATTATCTGCTTTAGATAGTCTTACATAATTTTTGTTTGGATGCTAATGTGAATCTCTTTTCAGGTTAGTCTTATTTACATATATATATGTATATAGTATCTATGCAAGTGTACTTTCCATGTATAAATACATATTTACACAAATAACAAGAAATGTTTCATGAGATCAATAATCAATCTATATACACATTTAAACTCGGGATTTTGTTTGTTTATTTTCCAACACAGGCAAACCATACTTCTTTACCAATATTTAATCCTGTACTTCCAGGACGGTAACACAAGTAAAAATAATGTTAGATTGTACTTAAAAACCATTAAATTCAGTGGCAAAATAAAATTTACATATATACAGCTGAGATGCACAGCAGGTAACTGCACTTGCCGTCTTTTTATTGATATCAAAGTTCAAACTGCTTTAAGTCAAAAGTAGAAATAGGTTTGGTGGTCTCTTTCCTCTCTTCTTTCCTCTAGAAGGCAACTACACAATTTGGCACCGCTTAATACTTACTGGCAGCCATTTCTGAAGAGAGACCTAGAACTGTAACAGTGGGGGAGGTAAGAGGTCAGGAGTGCAGAACTCTGGCACGAGTTGGACACGAAAGCTCACTGAATATCCACCCACATTACATTTGGCTGCAGCTATTCTTACTATTTCATAAAGAACAAAATTCAGGAGAACTCCATGTATTCATACTATTAGCAAAAGTTAATTTGGGCAATAGTAAGTGAACATGAAGTAAAGGAGGAATTTAATACCGCCCACCAAACACAAACTAGTCAAGACTGAAACTTCAGTTTTAACTGTACTGTTTTCAGGTGGCCCAAGAATCTTTTGTATAACATCTAAATTTACAAAAGAAACCATTTAATTAATAGTGATTATAGACTAGCCATAATATTAACTATGACAAATTGCCTATCCCCTTTAATTTTTTTCTTCTACAATTTATTTCTTTCAAAAAGACAAGTCATAATTTGGCAAGAGAATTTAGTGCATTTTCCTACAGCTTTACACACAAAAACAATTAACATGGAGCACTCACACTTTCTCAGATTAGACAGAAATTTAGCCCTCTATGTGACTAAAATGCAAATCTAGACACAAATTCAAAACATATATTTCTTTCTCAAGTTGTCATTACAGATCAATATGCCTGAGACACAGATTTATGATAAAGGACATAGCACTATTCTCTTTACAAGATGAAATGTGTGATGTGCATTGATATTGTGTCACCACCACCACCACTATCGACCAACCAATACATAATTATATAGATAGGTAAGAGATAAATGAATATATAGCATGCATGGAAAAAATGCAAAAATTAGAACATGCATATTAATTGTTATAATGTTTATCTTGACTAATTTTTTGCACATAAATTCCCTGGCACATCAACATTTCCAAAATGTCACTGCAGATTTCTTTCACAGAAAGGGATCTGCTCTATTTAGTTCAATAAAATTGACCTTAATAGTATTTATGGTTCTTGTTGGGATAGAGAGCAGATTAGAAATGTAGCAGAAATGCTGCTTCTAAATGACAAGGCAGTCCAAAATAAGTCTGAGCTAATTTGTGATCTTAGATGCAAAGACTGACCTGATTTGTATAACTGAAACCTGGGTGGGTGTGGAAGGTAGGGCTGCCACCCAGGATATTCAATCTACCATCATGGCAGGTCAGGGGTGGTGGAGAATGTTGCCATAGACCATAGGAACTCTATTAAGGTCAGCAGGATCTCTGCCCATTTATGCCTAGGCCTGGAATACCTTCACCTGATTTTGGACCAGCAGGATAGAGTGGGAAATGTGTAGCTGTACCACTTCCCCCATGACCCAATGTTTTCACTGCCAGGGCTGATGGACTTTTTCTCAGGTGCATTGCTAAAGTTTTACTTCTGGGGGATTTAAACACTCATATGGAGTAACATGCTGCTGGGGCACCCTTGGAGTTCATGGATAGTTCACACATTGGACCTGGTGTTCATGTCTGAGCAAAGAGAAGATGATCTGAAGGTGGTAAACCTTGAATTTTCCACCTTGTCATGCTCAGATCATCACCTACTGAGATTTGGACTTTGTACCATTATACCCCTCCACAGGGAGCATGGACCTATTAGAACAATCCACCCGTGAAGGCTATTGGATCCAACTGGTTTCCAGAATGTCCTTGGGGATTTTCAACCTGATCTGGTTGGTGCTCCTGTCAAAGCCCAGGTCGCCCACTGGTATTCAAAGGTGACTTGGGCAGTAGACATTGCTCCTAAATGACTTCTTTACTGCAGAGCCCAATCCTCACCATGGCTTGTGGAAGAGTTGAGGGTGACAAAGCAATTAAGAAGATGACTAGAGAGCAGATGGAGGAAAGGTCCCTTGAAATGCAATCTAGCTGCAGTCAGGGAGATGTCTGACAAATATTCTAATTAACTTAAGGCAGCAAGAAAAGACTATAATACCAAATTGATTAATACGTCTTCCAACCAATGGACAGAACTCTTTCAAGTTCTTTGCAGTCTTACAAATGCTGGGCAGACGCAAACATTACAGGCAAGTATAGGGAACTGCGATTAACTGGCAGCCCATATCAGATCTAAGATTGAATGCATCTGTCAGGACCTGGCACTTTATTTAACCCAGTAGACCAGACTGAAACATCTAATACACTATCTAGTCATGTTTTACTGGATCTGTTTCAGTTAAGGCCTGACAATATAGACATAGCACCTGCACACTTTAAAGCTACTACCTCTTAGATCCCTGCCCATCTTGGATACTAAAATCTATCATGAATAAATGATAAAATTTGCCAAATGTGTCATCAGTGCATTTCTACCAGAGGACCATATGCTATCGGACTGGTTAGAGGGGAATCTTCCTGGCCTTGATGGGGTTACACTGTTTCTGAAGGTCATAAGAAATTATAATAAGGCTCATTTTTAAGAAAACTAATCTGGCAGTGGATGATCTAAATAACTAGAGCCCCATTATGAATATTCCAGTTTGGGGCAGGCTAATTAAGATAGCTGAAATGTTGCAGGTGTTCTTGAAAGAAACTGATAGCCTGGGTCTATTTCAATAGGGCGAGGCATGGTACTGAAACAGCACTAGTCACCCTACAAGACAATATCCCAAGGGAGGAAGAAAGGGGGGTGTAACACTGATAGCCCTCCGGGATCTTTCTGTTGCCTTTTATACAGTTCCTCCATTCTCTGTAAGTTTCAGTCATTCTTAGATGGCCAATCTCAGATAATACAGCTTGAGAATCTCCACCCCTTGAAACCTCTGCTATCGGGTTCCAAAAGGGTCAACCATGTCCCCAATGCTCTTTAACATCTATATGAAGCTGCTGGGATAAGTCATGCAGAGATTTGGGGTTCGCTGTCACCAGTACACTAACACCCAGCTCTATCTCTTCTTTGTGTAATCTGCAGATGATGATGTACAGGTCCTTGAGTGCTCCCTAGTGCAGATAATGGATTGGACAAGGGCCAATATACTGAATCTGAATTCAGATAAGACAAAGATCCTACTGTTAGGAAGACCATCGGACTGGTTAGAAGGGAATCTATCCCTCCTTGATGGGGTTACACTCCTTCTGCCTGGGAGCAGTCCTGGACCTGGCACTCTCAATGGAAGCTCAAATATTGGCCATGGCCAGGAGTGCTCTTTATCAACTCCAGTTAGCTGCCTAGTTACACTCCTACTTGGATAAGAAATGGCAAGTAATAGAACTTGGCTTGCTCAATCTAGAAAAATTGAGGCTGAAAGGGTTTAGGAAAACACTGTATAAATACATTACAGGCACCATTATTAGAAGGATAGGAACTCGTGTCTGTGGACTTGAGTCTTAAGGGGTTATAATTCCAATGCTGCAGTTCAAACAGGGTGAGTTATGATGCCTTTTAAACTATTTGATAAATGTTTCTTGATTTAAATTAATGCTGCTTGATTTAATTAAGCGAAGTTGCACACAGGGAATCTGTAACAAAGAATTGTTGACCACCTAAGTTCCTACCATTCCAGAAGGTAACTCATGCTACTGCTACCAGTGCTCTCTGTTCTCCTGCTTAGAGGAGAATGGACAGTACATTATTTTTGAATGGGCTCCCATATTTAAAAAATTCTATGGCTTTATAAATAACTTCTATGATTGGCCTTCCATGTGTTTCTAACCCTATTAACAAGAATGCTAGCAAAGCACAAGGCAGGCTCAATCAAAAGGTTTCTATGTATTTCTTTCAGATGCTAGATCTATCCACCTGCTAAGGAGGAAGCAATTCACAAAACTTTACAATGACAGTGTTTCAGGATTTTTTACATTACTGTCTGAAACAACAGTTTCTTCTACAAAGAGGATATTAACCTTTAATCCCTGAAAGTATTAAAGAAATATTTTCAGGAGCATTTTTGCCTTCTTTATCTGATCAGACCACTGGAAGTTGGGTTGTGGTTATGCAAACCAATCATTTCATCAGCAGTTTTATATTCCTTTAAAGCCTCATATAAAAAGCACCTGCTTAAAGTGAGTAATGGAGTTTTATACTCATTGCACTTAGGAACAGCGTATGTAAACTATTCCGTTTTCCTCCCCTGTGGAATATATCTCAGCTTATGTTGCACAGCACATTACCAACGTGTATAAAAACTCTCTGATCAGCAATTTGGACGGCAGACAGCAGCCTCTGTGTATGTATTTCCCCCTAAATACGGTATCCACTTGATTCACCAAGATAAATTGGAACCATTCTTTATTAGTTGATGATCTCACTTTCTCTGTGAATACAACCAGTGCATGTATTTAGACAGAAGTTACACGGCCCACCCTATCATACCTGTGCATATAAAATGTTCACCTCATACAAGTAAATTCTCAAAGAAAAGCTATTTAAATAAAAAATATTCAA